GAGACTGATTTTATGGTTGTTTAATTTTGGGATTTTATGTTGTTAAAGTGTTTGGAAAAAATCTCCTTATTTGTCTAAGTTCAATGGAATGGTACTTCAGGAGATGTGTGCCCATGAGAAGCTTCCACTCATTGGCTATGCTGATGATCCTTTGACTGGGGAACTGAATTTTTAGAGAATTTTGAGCTTCAAGGCGACATTATCTTGTTGATCTTTTGTTATGGAAATATGCCATTTGGATAATTTGCTACTTAGCACCATGATAGAACCACAACGTTGCAGGTCCTTTCTATTATTGTATGGAAATCTTTATTAAAATAGGGAAGCATCTTGGTGTCTTTGGATTCAACATTATATTTCCAATTAGGGATTTATTCTATGTTTTGTTAAGGGAGTACTGATTGAACATTGCTGCAATGATTGGAGCTATTAACTGAGCTGATTGTTTGATAGTACCATTGCATGGCAGACCTTGAAGTGGTATTATGATATGCCAATTTGTCCAGAGAATGCTTAGTACCATATGGATTAGAGAATGACTTAAGGTTCTATAAAAGGGTTAACAGGAAATAGCCAATGAAAAATCTTCAATTTCTGTCCAAAATATTATGATTGAGAAGAACATATTGCTTGTCAATTTTTTACCTTTACAGCATGAAGGCTTTAATCTCATAACTTGCATTAGTAGTCTAGGACTATGAGAGTTGATATTCTGACTTCTGTTTTGTCCTTGAAAGTCATCTATCTAGAAACAACTAACAAATTGCCATCTGAATAGCCTTAATTAGATGCTGGTCAGATAGTCCAACAAATTATGAATCATAAGATATTTGTTGATGGAATATGCTCTATTTTTCAACTGGTAGAAATTTAGAATTTCAATGGTTATATTTTTCTAATTATCTTCTTATATATAGTTTTAGCTTGTTGGTGATAACAAACCCCGTTATTTCCTTATATGTTTGGCCTTTTCCAGTCAGCTAATGATTCAATGACAATGCAGCCTAGATCGTTGATGATGGATTTTCAGTTAAAGATGTTATTGGGAGATTTTAGATGCCACAGTGATGAGATTCTTGCCACTGCATGTCTTCAATTGAAAATAGACTTTAATAAAACATTAATGAGAATAAAAGGAAAAAAAAAAATGTCTATTCAATTAAACAATGCAAGTTATGGTTTCTTGATTAGTGCCTTATCTATTTTTTATGAAGCAGCCAATAAGCCTTACCATGCTGCATGCTTGATAAAAGCTTACCATCCTGTTGCCAAACTTTTACCAGCTGCTTCATAAAACCGTACCATCCTATAAATTTAGTCACAAAATTGGTGGAATACTAAAACTACATACCTAAAATCTCTTCTATATTTTCTAGCTGCTTTTAAATTATTAGACTATTTTACTTCACAGTGGATATTATTATACTCGGGTTTCTGAGTGTTACATTGGCACCATACATCTTTGTCTCATATCAATAGCATGTCTGTAAAAGTTGATATTAAGAATTTATATCTCCTTGTCCCTTTGCTTAATTCAACAATCTGATGTTGGGGTCCTGTTTCTTCTAGAAATTTATTAATTTATGTGGGAGTGAAGATTCTTCGGGTACACTATTGATTGCTTGGTTGCAAGTTCTTTAGGTGTAAGGCTTCTTTATACTTTCATATGGGTACTGATAAAGCTGTACTTGATATAATGGCTTTGGCCGCTGTTTTTTTTATTGTCACCCTCTAATGATTCTTTATATATAGATATATATTGATTGTAAGTGCATTTGCAAAATTTATTAAAAAATGCTTATCACTAACAATCCTGATGATATAATATTCTTTCCATGTCTGTTCACCTTTAACCATTATTTTTCTCATCATTCTTCTTATTATGTCTTTCTTTCTACTAGTCTAGTACATAGATTGCATGGTATTTATTGAATATGTAAACACAGTTTATAATATATAGAACATTTTGTGAACTAATCATGGAACTTAAGTACCCTTTGGGTCTGATATTTGAAACTTAAGTCTGAACACATTTTTTTCCTTAAGTATGGATGCATTGAAAATGTTTTTAACTTAACAGCTCAGTGTAAACTGTGGTTTATTCGTGTATACCTGGTTGTCATGTTCCAGTGAACTGAGTTTTAAGGTTGAATTTTGTATCACTAGAATGTGTCTGGTTTGAAACAACCATTTATGACCTATTGTGTTACAGCTTTCTTGTCTGTTGCAGGAGAATCCTAATAAGCTCAAACTGCAAACTCCAGTCAAAATTACCAGAAAATTGAATGACTCAGTATGTAAGAAGGGGTTAGCAAAAGACATTTTGGATTCTGTTACTATCCACAGAAAGAAACAAGATCTGAAACGCTTATCTCCTCAGAAGAGGCACAAAGTTGTTCAAACAACGAAACTGATTACAGAGCATCAGGAATCAGTGGTTCCTGTTCGTGGCATTCTGAAGAATCATAAAAAAGATGTTCCCGTGCAGACTGCCTCGATTTGCGGCATTCAGGGTGGCAGTCAGGTGAATCCTTGTGGCGTTCAACATTCAGACAGGCATGTCAGATTTTCTGGTAAGGATGACATACTTGGACCAAGCAAGAGAAGTGTTTCTTCTTTTGAGAACAACATTTTCAAGTTATATTCAGATTCCATAACTTCTTCATCAGAAAAGGACAGGTCAACTGGAAGTGAGGATGAATTAGCTACCTTAAATGGTATCGATGGTGATGTTGTGTCAATTAGCATAGAACATGGAACTGGTGTGCAACCTATGATTGAAAAGGACTTGTTCCCTCTCACTCATGATTGTGTTGATATACCAAATTTTCAGAGGGCACACATTACTTCTCAAGAAAAATTAAAGCTTTTATCAGACAAATCTGTGCCCCTATGTCAAGTTCCATTATGTGAAGATAATCTGTGTATGTTTGATCGAGGAAACCGATTAACTTCTTATGGACCTCCATATGCTGGTACTCCTAAACTTCTTTCTGCATTAAACAAAGTATGTAATCCATGTGTAAATCCTCAATTACGTGGTAGTGTTTCTAGAGCATCCAATTCCAGTGCAAAGTTCATTGATTATTTTGAGAATAATTCCCATGGAGTTGCTGAAATGAGTTCGATGGCAAATATGCAGCAAATTCCTCAGTCTTCATCAACAGGTTTTACTTTTAGTGAAAGTGCTAAACTGAGGCTTCCGTCTCTTGCCGAAAATATGACTGGCCATGCTATGCAGTATCCACCATGTTCTGATCTGTCTACTATGGAACTTAGGAGTAGTTTATGTCCCTTTCCAGAGTGGAAGCAAAGAGCAGTTTCCTTCAGACAGAACTGCATGAGTGAGGAATTTTTCAGTTTGCCTCTCAATTCTCAAGGTGAACTTATCCAGGCATCAAATGGTAAAGGATGTTTCAACCAGTTAAATATGTCAAATTTGGAAGCTGGTTCTTCCAGTGGCTTACCTGTGCTCAATTATGAACTTCAAAGAAATATGGGAGATTGCTCCAGCACCTTGAAAGAAAGACATTATGTCGAGAGATTCCTTCCAAAAGATCAGTTAAATTTGTTTCCTGGGGACAATTATGTGAAAGAGAACCCTAATTGGCATTTACCAGCTAGATTAGGTGTTACTGAATCAACAATCACTGCAGATGAAGTCTACAGGCGAAATTCCGGGAATGGAAGCAACCACTCTATCCCCTTTTTGGATTCGGGCCAAAACCTGATGAACATGTCTTTGGATAGATTCAGGCAGTATGACCAGGTTCAGAATCAAGACGGCGTTGGGGTTATTCATCCAAAGGAAAATTCAGATCAGATGTTGCTAAATAGGACCCAGCTGACAATGCGATTAATGGGTAAAGATGTTGCTATTGGTAGAAGTAGCAAAGAGATGCAAGGATTTCCGGATGGAAAGGTATGGACTGAAAAGGAAGTCATATCAGAGCATCGTACTTCAAGCTCTGGCCTGGAAAATTTGTCTGTCAAGAGCCATTTTCAGGATTGGCTAAATCCGGTATCAGGAAAACCAAATCAGCTGTTAGAAATCCAAAGCAATCAGGCCCCACAAAGTAACACTATGATGGGAGGTCCAGATTCTATTTTTTTCCACCCATACATCTACTGGTAAACTAATCCACCGTCTGAGAATGGCACCCTTACCAACAATAGAAACCATAGTTCTAAATTGCACCATATTGCTAATCCCTTTCCTTTCCGTGAAGTGTTGAACTTGACTGGCAATTTGGAAGAACCCTTTATACCTGGACCTGATACTTTAAGAGTCAGCTCTCATGCTGGATCTGCTCCTCACATTAACTGCCATATGGATTGGAGTCCTGCTGAATTCAACTACAAGCAAAATCCCCCTCAAGCTACAAAATCAGTTTTCAACTTTCCTTTCTTGCACCCAGATTGTGTTGAACCTGTCCAACCATCTTGGTTTCAGAGCTCCTCTAAGAGCCTGGCTCCATGGTTGTTACAGACGGCACAAGTAAAGACACCTGTTGCTGGTAGTCAGCCTTTTGCTGGTTTTGATGGGAAATATCATCCCCATACAGCTGAACCTAATCTTCCTGCTACCCCATCAGTGCATCAGTCACCTGTAGCTTATCCTTACAATGCAATGACCTCTCAGACGCACATGCAGAGTTCACTTGGTCCAGTAGCTGTAGTTCGCCCTTCTTTTGTTTCAGCCCTCTCAGGAACTCAACCAGTCTCTTCCATGAACATGAGCTACAGAAACAGAAACAAGGCCAAAGACAGAATGCAGTCAAAAGCTTTAGGCATTAAAAGCCTCAATCATTGCCAGAAAACCAAGAAGAGGCCTGCATATAAAGATGGCTATTCAACAAATGCTACTAAGATTTCTAATTTAGTAATTCAAGAAGATGTAAGTGCTGTGACAGAGTTTACAAGAGAAGATTATGGTAGGAATATTCAATGTAATGCAGGAGCTTCTGAACCCACTTCTAATAAGGACCGAGCAAGCAGTTCAGGATGTAACCCACTGGAAGTACAAGAAGATGTATATTCTATGACAGGGTTGGCTAGAGACAATTTTATTCAGGATATACAATATAATGACGGATCCATAGAACTCAATTCGGAATGTGTTGGAGCAAGCGGAGTGGGATGTGTTCCAAATGAGAGTCTGAAAATTGAAGTTAGAACTTCACTTGGCATTGATTCTTCTAAAGTGGACGGAATAGCAAGATCAGGTCCTATTAAACTAAGTGCGGGAGCAAAGTACATCCTGAAACCGAGTCAAAATATGGACCAAGACAACTCCAGACTGGTCCATTCAACTATTCCTTTTGCTACAGTGCCTGACTCTAATAACCTCTCTGAGTCTCAGAAAAAATCAATTAAGGTTTACAGGTTTTAGAAGTATATCTTCCTTTGGCTTCTTCTTTTGTTTTTCTCCTCTCATGCTTGCTTATGCCACTTTAATGAAGCAGGATTCCTTCTCTTGGTCAAGCAAAAGACTGTTCGTATCTGGTTGCTTCTGGGATTTGGGTGTCTGAGCTCGAAGATAAAAGTTGAAGTCCAGTATTTAGGCTTTTTGCTGCTACTTTAAACATGTGGTATTATGTTACCGTGTTTTATATTCATCAAGTTTTATTAGAGAGATCTGTCTCTAGGTTATACTTCTAAATTTTGTTCTTAAGCTGTTTATCCAGGCACACAAGTCATGCTTATTTTCATTCCAAATGACTTGACTTGCTGTTTTCAATATTTAGCCGGCTGAAACTTTCATCTTCTAAGCATATATTGTTGGTGAGATGATTTTTTTGGCTACTGTGTGCATATGATTAATGAATTTCAGGATCTATTTTGCTTTTATCAGGCGATTTATTATAAAGTTATACTGTCTTGGCCCCCAAAAAAATTAGTTATATGGCAGGTTTTGATGGTTTGCTAACTTATAATTTGAATTCCCGTACCAACATTGTGAATTTTTGTTGACATTAGCTAGCTGCAAAGGAAAGGATCAGATTAGAAGTTACAAGGCATATCTAGATCTAGAGCCTAATTGATATTCCAATGGAACGGCAAATGCTATAACCGTGCCACGGTCCCAAAAAAAAAAAGAAAAAGGAAAAAAAGATCTACGCTATCAATGCATTCGGTTACGAGCAAATCAAGCCAATTCTTATTCGGAGGATGTGTGGAATTAAAATGGATACATATTAAGATTTTTTAAAGTTAAATATTTCATGAGAAAGTTTAAAATGCAAGATGAAGAGATACTCTAATTTGATTGCATGGTGTGGTTGGCCTAATTTTTCTAAGTTCCCGCCACAATGGCACAATGCAACATAAAAACAGATTAAATCATCCATATCTCCCAAAGCTCCTATGATAGTAATCATCGTCTATGCTACACATGATTTGAGAATAATTCCATTAATCACTTCAACTTTAGCTACTTTTTCAAACAGCAGAAGATACGGCGAATGACAGGATCTGTTGGTGCGAATCAAGTTATATCATCTGCATTAAATCAATACGGAGTAGCCAATCATCTGCTTGGTTGATTTATGTAGGTTAACGGTGAATTAGTGTTGGAGTTGTGGACTATTTTAGCATTAATGGGTTACACTGACGTATTTAGAGGTTCTGCTATAGGATTTCTTTAAGTTATTAAGTTGAGTTTAGAAATATGAATCCTTGTAAAACTAAGTTTTGTCACTTTAAATCAAGTATATAAACATATTTTCTTCTTGTTATGAGTGTGATAGTAATTATAGGGTAATTTATTTATTGTAAACGAGATAGGTGAGAGAGTATTACAATAATATTAACTTGATTAGACGTAGATTATATTGGATGAACTAAAATAAATCATTATGTTATTGTCACTCTATTTACTATCTGTGATTTGTTTTATTGTTAATTTGTTCTTTCAGCTTTCTCATTTTCGTTGAATTAGTATATACAGAGGTTAGAGGATAGTATCACTATCACACAATTCGATCAAAGGTCTACAAGGCTAGAGCCACATTAATTTATATATAGCTGCCACAATGGAGCGAAGATGCTGGCCACTTTCAATTTTGTAGCTGTCCGATTTCAGAAGTACTGCCTGCGCTGACCATCTACACTACAAACCTGTGAGCACGTTAGATAGACTTTAAAACTCAACCAGTTTAGGGTCCATCTTTTCCACTTAATCTTCTCTTCCGTAATAGATAAAAACAAACTTAAAAATAACTGTTTCACTTACGTTGAAAGATCTCTGAACTTTTTTATTTTTTTTTTTCTTTTGGTTTTTTAACAGGTATAGATATATTGTTGGGGTTTTGTACAGAAGGCTACACATTGGAGCCTACTAACAGCCGGTAATTTATATATTCTCACAACTGTTTAACCTAATAATTCGCTTCTTCCATCTACTCAGAGCCTAGTTCAAGTTGATAAAATTAATACATTTATATAGTCTTTAAAACTGCTTCAGTACGAGTATATAGAACTGGTGATGTTTGATTTTGACATCAACTATTCACGTAATAAATACTGAGTGAGCAGAAGTCAACGTGATTGGGGGTATTTGATTAAGGGGTGAAGAACAATGTTTAAAGTAGGGATACTTAAAAAGCGAGTCCTACATCCACTGGTATTATATAATATATAATAACATGTCGCGTTCAACGAGCTGATTTATAGCTTGGAGAATACAAGTGATTACAAGAGAGAGAGTATGCTATTTCAGAGAAAAATTAGCCAATTCCACAAACGGGGAGGAGCCCTCTATTTTAGTGGGATGAACTGAGGTAATGATTACTAAATCTGTGAGTGGGTCAGATTGCCGTGCAAATCTTTCTTTTGGTTCTTTAACAGGTATAGATATATTGTTGGGGTTTTGTACAGAAGGCTACACATTGGAGCCTACTAACAGCCGGTAATTTATATATTCTCACAACTGTTTAACCTAATAATTCGCTTCCTCCATCTATTCAGAGCCTAGTTCAAGTTGATAAAATTAATACATTTATATTTATTCCTTAAAACTGCTTCACTACGAGTATATAGAATCAAATTTATATTGTGATTGTTTTGAGTGATCTTAATTAAGAATTCACAACCACCGAACTTCCTGCAACCATTATTTATATAATCTTTGCAAAGCCATCAGCCGTCGCTTCCCAGTTTGTGACTAAAATGCTTATCCTAAATGTGGAATAAGTTCTTGACTTGATATTAATTATAAGACTATTCCAAGATATGATGTTTCATTGATAAAGAATATGAATGTATATAATTCACAATTTCATAGTTAACAGCAGGAGCTAATTGATTGTACAATCAAACATTTTATTTGAGGATCATATCTGAGTTGAGACATCATCAGAACACAGTTAGCCCATATCTGTTCTTGTAAATATATATCCTTCGATATGTTTTACACTTGCATGTATACACAATTTGCACAAACGAATTCGAGTGAAATAGTAAGCAAATAGAAAATCATAATTCAGAGATCTTCTAAGTTCTCAATGCTTCTTTGCTTCCTTTTCAGCCTGCAAAATCCATGAACTCAAATTAATTAGAGAGAGAGAGAGAGAGAGAGAGAGAGAGAGAGAGAGAGAGCATATTGATAGTACATGTCTTAATTAAATTATATTCATACCGCTTTGATAGCCCGTTCAAGAGCTTCCCATCCATGTTTATCAACATATTGAGTTACTGATTTCCTTGCATCAAAGCTCATCATCTCGAGGACCTTCTTTTGGTCTTCCGTAAAATTTGATGAGCCTAGGAGCCCACTACTCTTTACATATTTCTTGATGTAATTTGCATAGATATAAGCTGCCCCATGGAACATCGGTAACACCAACCACATGCAAAATAAAAGCTTTATGTACGGCCAAAATGGGAGCCTGCGTTCATACAGATTCCATATATTTTGATCAGAGAGAAACCATTATGAGTAATTCTTCTATAAAGATCATAATATGAACCATACATACCAAGCCAGGACTTTATAACATGATAGCTCAAACAGGGTTATTAACGAGTATATAATCCAGTATGTTAACCACTGCTGATCATCCAGGGTTGAAGGACTCTCGATTGCTCTCAGTGATGCGTATCTGTTCATATATATAATATATCATATGTTAATTATCTTCTTTTCTTTATGTTCCGTTCAATATTACATAACTTGGAAATAATTAATTTTGTTGCATTTTACTTACAATGGATAAAGAAGCATCACCCCGGGCCTGTTGACAGCCAAAAATAAAATAAAATTAGTTTTTGGGTAGGACTTGGAATTAAAATTTTACTGGTGGCATATTTAGTTTCACAAACATCTTGCCGCATTTAGTATATCGTCGAAAATTAAAAGATTAAAATTGAAAGTAAAACAAAAAAAAAATTACCCGACTAGTGTATCCAAACGTTTGGCTATTACTGCAAGAACACCCATATTTTCACTGATGTAAATGTCTTTCTCCTTCCGGTTGATGGACTGACAAATTAATGAAGCTTAAATATGACTAATTCACAGTGAGATAATGAAAAACTTGTATAGATGGAGGCAAGGATTTAAAGGTATGAAAGGTTGATGAAAGCAAGTAAGGAATTTCTGTTGTGCGAGCCATTCTCTTTCTTTTTCCTTTTCCTTTGACCACAAGAAAAGTAAGAAAAAGAATGAAATAATGTTCAACTTAATTATGCCTTACCTGCACCTTTTAAACTTCAAAGTTATACCTTACTTTTTCTTCCTCCCTATCACCAATTTTATGGTAGAAAAAGAAAAAAAACAACTTTTCTGAATCAAGGTATTCGATAATTAATAGAACTAACTGTTGAGAGTGTTCTTGTGGACACCAGACAAATATATTATTAAGTTCTAGAAAAGATTCTTGTTATCTAATTCTTTCTGCTCACATAAATTTTCAAGATGATCCCTCCAAGCAATGACCAAACTTGTAAAATTTTCACTTTCAGATGGCGTTAAACTGCATTAAGGTCGAAAATGTTTTTTTAATTACCTGTTATAAGCGTTATCTGGCATCACTTATTTTATCAGTTTTTTGTCAGCTATTTGAAATTTGGGTTTTCATGGACTTGAAGAAATGAATTAAGGCAAGTGATTTCAGAAGCATTGTGTAGTGGATTAAGGGTTGAAATTGAAAGAGAAACTAAAGGAAGTAGTAGATTTTTACAAAACTTACCGATGAGAGAAGAGAAGGAAGAGATTGAAATCAAGGAGGTTTAAATTTAAGTAAAATAATATTGATAAAGTTGGATATAATTAGGTGAAAAAGACGTGACATGATTGGGCAGGGATATGATGAAATTGGGGTTGGGATAATATCAATATGTTGTCAGCAGTGGTCCAAGTAAATGTAAAAGTCAAGTAAAAAAACACAGGAACAGTGTCCTTCCTTAATTATTCCAAAACCCTTTTAATTACGCTTGTACTTTTCTTCTCGTTACCAACTTTAACTTTTCTTTCTTTTCTCTAACCCAACCCCATCTTCATCTGCGTGCATCTCACGTTTTTTACATTTTTAAGTCTCTATATCTTATGTAGAAATCATCTTTCTATGTTTATTTATTTATTTTAATATTGTTATTGTTAGGCCTAAAAATAAGGGTTAATAAGTGCTGACACGTGCTAATATCATCTCTATCAATCAGGATTCAATAGATCTTTTCACCAATCAGAACTTGACACACACCCAAATACAATAAGAATATTAACTATCAAAACCCAAACCGCATATGTCCAAACCCCATTTAATCTAAGGATATATACATGAGACTTCTCAATTGATGGGAAGGTAGGAAGAATCTACATGACATCAGACCACTTGCAAAAACCACTCATTACCTTGAGCAAAATGGGTATAAATAGATAGCTCACCCCTCACAAAATAGAGGTTAGAGACACATAAATTACACAAAGCAAATAGCAAACACACTATTAAAAAGAGACTATTTTAATCGCAGATCGCGACCCTTGTAAACTTGTGTAATGATCAAGAAAATAACACTTATAAATACAAATCACAGTAGAGATAAGAGTCGCTTATAAGCATCTAAACCATTATAAAAACTCTCTTGTCAACTTTATTTTACACACTTGCATGCAACTGCCATCATAGTACTTTATCCACCCTCTATAATCTGCTCATGTGTAACTTTTTAGCACTTTACACGTGTGAAGTTGTTAATGTCAAAATCAAGCATCGACGATTATAATCTAAGAAACTCTTTCACATTCTAAAGTTGAGTCCATAAATATGAAATTTGTTGTTTGTTTAGGTATATAATGTAAGTGAGAATTTGAGTTCTGGGTTTGGATTAAGTGCAGAGTATTATCGTGACTTCTTCTAGGAATCACTTTTAAGAGCAATGAATTATAGAGTACGTTGGCAAAAATATAAGATTTCGATTTTAAGTCCAACCCAATATCTGCGCACCAATATCTGGATTTTGGAGTAAGCTCAACTATTTGACTATTTACTCACATCTTGGGATACCATTCAAAATATCTTCCTCTTTTTTTTTTTTTTTTTTTTTTTAGCTATTAAATTAAAGCCAATATTTTCACTCAATTTCGGCACAAAAACTAGTATTTTCACGTGATTTCGCGCAAATATGAGGTGGGTATCGGTTTAGGGTTGAAAGTTTGAATTTTGGCAATAGAGGGAGGGGAAGTTAGGGTTGAAAAAGATGAGTGAATAGTATAAGTTTTATTTATATATGGGAGCAATTTTGTCTTAAAAAAAAAAAATTGTGTAAATTAGGATTATGCTATTTCTTGAGATACTTTCCAACTTCTCAATTTTTGACACCAAATAATGTCATTTAATATAATTTCTTGAGAAAATGGATATCCATTTTTTTCAATTAAAAAAAAAAGGAAAAGAAAAAAATGAGGGCGCGGAGCTCATTCCATGGATGAAAATATGTTACATGTTCAGTTGTGGGAGTGAGCCACATATCCCTTGTAAGGCCAAGTCTTAAGGTGGTTACCACTTCCTCCATTTCTCATACTAATCGGGTTTCAAGGGGAGGAATTAATTCCACTATGTAATAGTCAGTTATTGTTTATCTAGAGTTAGTTATTGCTGTTATTTTACTTTTGGGAAAGGGAAACATTATGTGGGCGGTTATAGGGGAGAGGTAGTGGGGAGTTATGTGTTAAATGAGTCAGCTATGTAGTAAGTTAAATAGAGGTTAAACTATGAATGAAGAATATGAAAGTTATCCCAAATATCTACCTTGCGTAGGGAGGCTAGGCTTCCTCAATTAAGCTACTCATCTTAATCTTCATCTTCTTATTTTGTTAATATCTCCTATCTCACTATAGGGAGAAAGAAAGGTTCCATTTCTTACATACCAGGTTGGTATTAGAGCCTAAGAATGGAGCAGAGGGTGGAACAGTTAGAAGGGGAAGTAAACTCTCTCAATGAAGGACAACAATAGATTTTGACCAAATTGGAGGGCCAACGGCAGTTGCTAGCAAAGATTGGGGAGATGTTTAAGCACATGAATTCACCCTCTCCAATCCATGGCATGGGTGATGTGGGTGAGAACTCACAAGTTCCTACTCAAAACTTGGGACCGCAAAGAACTCATTTGAATAATTCTAATGTAAGGTCCATGGCTTCACAACAGATATTTCACCCTAGATTAGTCAAGCTTGATTTTCCTCGCTACAATGGAGAAGAAGACAATTGGTTGGACATGTCGTGTAGAGCAGTTTTTTTAGTTCCATTAAACACCAAAGGAGGAAAGGGTTGCGTTGGCATCTTTCCATCTTGAAGGAGAAACTCAATTATGGTACCAATTGTACAAGCAAAGTGGCGGTGGGGTAATTTGGTCAGCTTTTTTACGAAGGCTTACACGTTCGGTTCAGGCCGACACCATTCCAAGATTTCTTTGGCGAATTGGTTAAACTACAACAAACGGCGTTTGTTCGTGATTACCAAGCAAAGTTCAAAAGAATTTTGTCAAAGGAGGGACAACTTCCACCCAACATACAAATAAGTTGTTTTGTGAGTGGGTTACGGGATAACATTAAAGCTGATGTGTTAGCTGCACAACCAGCTACTCTCTCAAACGTTATTGGCTTAGCTTGATTATTTGAAACCAAGAACCTATCACAAAGACGATTCTTACCTCCAATTGAACCACGAAAGTTGACATTTTCCAATCAGGAATTTCAAAACACTAGAGCTACGTTACCCGTTAGACAAATGACAGCTAGTGAATTACAGGAGAAGAGAGCTAAAGGACTTTGTTATAATTGCAATGAACATTTCGTTCTAGGCCATCAATGCAAGAAGCTTTTCTTGATTGAGAGATGTGATGTTGAGTAAGAGGAGGAAGTAGTGTTGGATATGGTAGCCGATGTAGTTGAGGAGGTCGATGGAATACTTGAGATTTCCCTACATGCAATATGTAGGGCAAAGGCTCTAGAGACAATAAGGGTTGCAGGAAGGTTGGGAACATGTGGCTGTTACAATCCTAGTCGATTCAGGAAGCACCCACAACTTTCTAAGCTAAAAAATAACTAAAAAGTTGAGGCTTAATCCTACTATTTAGCAACCTTTTGAGGTTATGGTCGCTTCTGGGTAGAGGATCGCGAGTCTAGGAATGTGTACCAATGTTAAATTAAATATGCAAAGAGATTCAATTGTTGCAGACTTTTTCCTCTTAAATTTAGGTGGTTATGAAGTGCTCATTGTTTGCGAACTCTCGGTCCTATTACATGGGACTTTCCTAACCTTGTTATGAAGTATAAAGTGGCAAGCAAGAAAGTAGAACTCAAAGGAGCAACGGCTAGAATGGATAAGGTAATAAGTGGTCCAATCCATGAAGCAAGACGAGTAAACAAGGACTCTTATTACAACTATGCTCTATCTCACCTACCACTATGAAGGGGCCCCCACTTCAAAGCATTTGTAACATCTCTTAGACTAATTCAAGGAAGTGTTTGATGAACCCAAGGGACTACCTCCAATTTGGTCGCATGATCACCGAATTCTTCTAAAGAGTGATGCCAAACCAATTTGTGCTAAGGCTTATCACCACCCATATTTTCAAAAAGAAAAAAAAGAAAAAAGAGATAGAATGTTTAGTGGGAGATATGTTATCATTTGGCATCATACCACCGAGCAACATGCCATATTCATCTCCGGTAATATTGGTCAAGAAACATGATAATTCCTGGCTTATGTGTGTGGATTAAAGAGCATTAAACAAAATTACCATCAAGGATAAATTTTCAATTCCTCTTATTGAAGAATTGTTGGACGAACTTCATGGGGCACAGTTCTTTACAAAGCTCGATCTTCGTTCCGATTACCATCAAATCAGAGTTGTACCTGAAGATATTGTGAAAACAACTTTTAGAACTCATCACGGCCATTACGAGTTCTTGGTAATGTCATTCGGCCTCACCAATGCTCCCTCCACATTCCAAGCATTGATGAATCAGATAATTAGAGAACACTTAAGAAAATTCATTTTAATTTTCTTTGACG